CCATGACTTGTATGACTTGTACAGAATGGAACAGCTTCAACAGGAAAGACAGAGACCCCCACCACACAGCCAAGTGGCACTGAGTGAGGGGCCTTGCAGCCTATTGTCATGAGTTTTAACAAGTGAGCAAGCAAATGCCTTCTTTAGCAATTACACCGTTCCTAATCCTCAGCAGATACGGTCACACGATTGCTTAGTGTCAACATCCAATTGAAAGATTTATAAAAATATACTAGGGGCCCAATCCTGCCCTGAGGTGGCTTCTCCCATCCTATAACACCCAGATGCCAGGCACCAGCGAAGGAAGCAGGTGCCTGGGGCGGCAATCCGTCCGTTGCTGGGGCGGCACGTCCGGGTCTGCGGCAGCAATTCAGCAGGGGGTCCTTCAGTCCCTCTGTTCCTCTTCGGCGGCACGTCAGCGGCAGCTCAATCGGGTTTGTCTTTTTTTCTTTTCTTTTTTTTTGCCACTTGGGGTGGCAAAAAAGCTGGAGCCGGCCCTGCCCAGATGGCAGCAGGTCAGAATTTCCACAGAGCACTCTGATAGGCAGGAGGCCAGGCTAGCTCCACTGCTTCAGGGGGAGTGGGCCATGGGTTGTTCTGTTCTGTTCAGGTTCTTACACTGCCCTGATCACCGTGGCATCTGAGCATTAATAGCCTGCAGACACCTTCAGGCCAGTGATCTGCCTGGGCACGTAATGTGATTGGCACAACTCTCTAGAATAGGCAGAACTCCTGCCCCTTTCTAAAGCAGTAGTAATTTGTGTCTCCTGTGCATTTCCGCTGCACAGGGGACACAAACAGTGGTTTCATTAGTTCCCTGTTTGCACCTGATTGCCATTCCTTTTCCCGGAAAGGCTCTGTTAGGTGCAATCTATTTATGCAGAATTACGTATTCAAATACAAGAGAGAGAGTTAGGACTATATTTCCCTATTACTAGGGTATATTAGTGAAAGGTATGCAGGAGCGGGCCCAATGTGCATAGGAAGAGGAGATCATTCCAAAAGAGGAAAGATGGAAATCCATTATAAAATAAAGTATAAATCATTTGGAGGAAACATTTGGTTTCGGAGCCCTGAATGCTTTGTCCATAGTTTCCTTTGAAATTATTTTGTACTTAAATATAATTATCAGCTAAAGACACTGATCTTTCTGATAGCACAACCACCTGTGACACCTAAACACAATGGATGAAATCCAACCTGGCCCCATTGAAGTCAATGGCAAAACTTCCATTGACTTCAGTGGGACCAGGATTTAACCCAAAATATTTGGATGAACTACATTATGTGCCTCAAATCATAAATAGAAAGTCCATGTTATTGGGCCACGTGTTTCTTGCTTAATATAGTGCTGTGGCCGCCGTAAATATGCTCTGGTTTACCAGGTGCCTGCAAAAGTTACAATCACAATATACAATGCCATTACAGGGTTGCCCCCTAGTGGAATAAGAAGGTATGTGTAAGTCTAACATTTGGTATATTTACTACCCTTGCTGAGCAAGAACTTTTGAGTTTGTGGTGCCAAAATATTGTAAACTGATGTCACTTTTGGTAGGTGATATAATCTCTGTTGATTTTATCAGGAATGATTTTCAGGTATTTCTAATCCACGCTAAACTGAAGTGCTTCCAGCTAAATAAGACAGCTAATTTTATCAAGTTTTTAACAGACATTATGTGACAATTTAAACTCTCAGATGCTAGTAACTTCAGTCTTCTCCTCTTCACCATCCAGCATCTAGCTCCTCCTTTTTAATCCTATCCTTTTAACCTACATAATGCATCCTGTCATTGGGTACTTAAAATAATAAGATTTCTCCAGCAGTGTAAGGAAAGAATGAAGTGAAAAGGTTGATATGGATTGAAAAGTAAAGACTGAGCTTTAGGAGGTTTTCAATCATCCATTGACCAATCACAAGAGATACCAAAGGGTTTTTTTCAAAGCTGTTATTTTGTCATGTGAATGCATCTGATTTCCTATCTTTAAAGATATAGAGCAGTTAAAAAAAAGTGTAATTTACCTGCAAATTGTCCATGGTCGTGAAACTGATGCAATTTTTCCTTTACTTATACCTCTCCAGATTCTCTTATTTTCACCAAACCTATGAAATATGTATATAATGTATTATTCTGGATGATGTGGGGGATTGATAAGTGCAAGTCTAGTAAGTATAGATGTCACTGTACATAGCTACAAGACTAACACAACTTTGCTATTTGTCCTGACATGTCTAGTTCAGTTCTTCAGACACTGTGTACCAAATTCCCTGATAGTGCAAATTAACATAGTTCCACTGAAGTCAACAGAGCTGCATCAGTTTATACCAGCAAAGAATTTGAGCCAGTATCGCTGCACTCAGTATAGCTGAACACTGAAATACATTCTGCCACTGAAATTTATTCTGTTATTTCTGTCAAAACACACTATTCAATCAATGCTATTTGTTCAAGAGCAGCAGTCCTTGTAATTTAACAGGGGAAAAAATCCCATATTTCAGTCTGTGGTAAATACTACTGCTGAAAGTTAATTGCCAGAATGCAAAGCTGACGAGCTGATGTTATGACAGTTCATTGCGTGTGCTGAAAGGCTCCTTTCTTCATCTCATCATTCTTCATGTTATACATAAATATAAAGGGATTGTTTTCTGTTCTCCTATGTGAGTGACAGAGTCTGCGATCAGTCATTATAATTAACCCATGGATTGAAAATAATAGCTTGTCATCCGTAAATGCTGCTATGATTTCTGACAGGTTTCCAGAAATCTATCAAAATGTTGGTATCCATTTTTAAAATGAAGTAATTGATGCTAAAGAAAATTAGAGTGTATTGCAAATTGCCACTGCATATTGGTTGGCTTCACATGTCACGGTACATAGATATTTTGTTGATACTGTGTATACAATGAGCAAAATCCTGCTTTTATAATATATAGTAGGGCTGTTTGAGGAAGCAGAGTAGAGCCAGCCATGCAGTGGGTCCCTGAGCCATCCTGACTGTGAAAGACAAAGAAGGTTTTGTGTGGGAGGCAGTATGGACCACATTAGAATGGTCTGCAGTAAAGGGTGAATTGGAACCCTCTGATCCAGCCTCAATAAGGGGTAGCATGCAAGGGCTCCAGGACCTTTGTAGAAGTGGGGGGGAGCCAAAGAGTTAAAATACTGCTTAAATATCTCGGAGAGTACAACTGTAATACACATAACCAGAGTACAAAATGTAGCCACATTATAATATTTAAGGTATGAAGAAAAAAATTAAGACAACTTTAGTTCTAAACATCACTGGAGTGGGTGGGGGGAGGGAAGTGATTTCCAGCCTGTTCTCGCCCCGAACTCACAGGTTCTGCAGCAGCCCTCCTTCTGGGCAGGGGTTTAGCAACATCTTCATCCCATCTCACCCCACCCCACCACCAAACTTGGCCCTGATACTGTCCCCAGGGAGCGTGGGGCTGCTCCATCCCCTGGGCTTTGTTCCCTCCCCTGCAGAGCCTCCGCCAGCCAGGTTCCACAGCCACTGAAGCCCCGGCAGTCAGGTTCCCTGGGGCTCCAGTGCACAATGCCCTAAGGCTTAAACTCCTCCCCCACCTCCCGCCGGAGCCAGAGCCAGGAGCGGGGCCGCAGCTCTGAGAAGGGGGGATGTGGACAGGGATAAGGGGGCTGAGACTGAGGCTGGGGCTACAGCTGGGGGCGAGGGTGGGGCCAGGAGTGGAGCCAAGGCCGGGGGCCAAGGCCGGCAGCCAGGATCCCAGGCACAGGGCCAGGAGCGGAGCCCTGGGCACAGGACCAGCAGCCGGGGCCGGGACCAGGAGTGGAGCTGGGTGGCGCTCCCTCCTCCCGCTTCCCCACCCCCATGGGCTTGGCTGCACCCCATCCCTGCATGTTCCTCTGTGCCCTCTTGGGGGGCGCACCCCACACTTTGGGGATCTTTGCCCTTAGAGAAAAAAACACACCGTTGGGTAATGGAGTGTTACTGCACAAGGCAAGTTGTGGCCCTATGTGTCATTGGGTCAGTAAAGTGATGTGTGAACATTAGTTACTGTGCAGCTTGGTGCTGCAAACTTATACCACCATGTATTTGCAAACACCAACATATATACTCTATACTATGGATTAAAATAATTTTGAATTCCTGATTAGTCTGCAGTGGGAATTTTTTAAAATATTTATAGTCAGTTCTATTTCAGACTAGAGCTCTTTCTTAATTATACAGTATATGAAAGATTCATTGTAAATCCTTAGCCTCATTTTAATAATACTTACACTTAGGCTAAATTTACCTTGCACACCCAATCTCCCAGATCAGTAATTGTATTAATTTATTTATCATCTCTGCATTCCATGCTGTGATATGCTTTCTGCATTGCATCATTTCAGTGATAGTTAGCAGCATCTCAAAGAACACGCATGAGGAATAGGTAGATATTTTGTCATTAACAATGGTATACGTTTTTAGACATCATGAAGTACCTTAAATTAACAGTAACGACAAACACTTAACATGTCTCATTTACATATATAACATTACACACCAGCAGTGTCTACATCTGTAACAAAGCACAAAAGTAAGCCTTAAAGACAAATGCCAGTGAGGTAATTAGAACCACTTGTGCTGAAACTAAAATCACTAGATATAGCGCTTTATCCCAAAGTACAAAGCAATGAGTGAAGTTCTAGCAAGGGCTATGTCATCTGCCAGTGGTACTCTACCAATTTGTTGGTACTGCTACTGGAATATATGGTCTTTGGGTGGGACTTTCAAAAGTGCTCCAGGTAGGCCTGAATTTGCTCCCACCATTGACTTCAGTGGGAACAGTTAGACCAACTCTGAGCACTCTTGGAAACCCCAGCCTTGATGACGTTATGGACCAAAACCACTTTTGCAGTGTGATACAATTACTGCCAGGCTGATTGCATAATCCTCTTTCTGATGATTTGCAGTGCTTTTTTGTTTTGATTAGCGTGCACAGTATGGTGGCATTTTCCTTGTGTCACTTTCCTTGACTTCTATTTGATGGTTTCTATGTAAGTCTGAATCCAGGGAAGGAGAATATCAAGTTCACTGATGGCTTTGTAGATGCCCTTTTCTCCAAGCTGTCAGTAAGAGAAAGGTGTTAGAAGCAGAAGTCAGCCATGTTTTCAAACAGTGCAACTTTGAAATCAACTATCAGGGCTTTACCTTATCAAACGTTTTCTTTATTTTTTTGACAGCCGTAGTTACTCTAGTGGTTGGAGCACATGGTAGCTGAAGGGACAAGAAGAAAATCAGAAGAACTTCTTGTAATGTGGAGTCTGGTGTAAGCAACTGATAATAAGTAAGAACAGAGCCCGTCATATGGCCTCCTGATACAGATGTGTAAAGGTAGCAACATTTGGGCCATACTTGCTGTTGTAAATGGGTGAGTTTATATAAGCTTTTGGAAGATATGTGAGCACACTTGGGAAAGCTGTAGAACATAAGACAGTGAAACTTGTACAATGGACCACTCACATTGGGAACCTCCTTCTTTTAAGAGACCTCTGCAAAGTAGTGAGTGTAATTCTGTTCCCTTACATGGTTACTTAAAATGGGTTTAAAGCTATTTACAAAGTTAATTTACGTTTCCATATGGAATTTTTAATGATTGTTCTTCCCATTTTTAATGCTAATTAAGGGCCCAATTCTGCAAACTTTCAATTCCCATTGAAGTCATTGGGAGTTTTGTCGGAATAAAACCTGACAACCGTTTTCTCCTGTAACTAAATCTTGCAAGGAAGCCATAGATGTAAGTGTCAAGTAGTGGTATCCGATCAGCCACATGCGGATATCTGAAACATAGATTTATGTAATCACTAAAGGATCAAAATGAAGCTGGGTGTGGAGGGAAAGGGTTTATTTAGTCTAACCCATACTGTAAAAACTAAAGATTGGAATTCAGTAAGATACTGGTCCAGTACATTGCTTTTATCATTCTGAATCTTTTTTATTTCCCTTCAGCAGCCTACGGTGCCTCCTGCAGTGACCTTCATGGCATCAATCAGCAGATGGGGCCCTAGAGCGCTGGCAGCAACATTAGAGAAAGAAAGCAAACGTAAAGACTTGCTACCTTTGACTCTTCAGGAAAAACTGTCAAAACTGCTCATCTGCTTGAGTTAAAAAGTGGGCCTGCTCCAGGAGTAAGTTACTGCTCAACGTAAGGAGGGCAAAATCAGGAGCTTTATTTAGAAGGACGAAGGGCTGAGCAGCTGATGTCTGAACCTATGGTTCCAGGGAGCCTGTGTGATGCTTAGATCACTGAGCTATCCCTATTGAATTGGTTGTGATTCTTTGATTGAATTGGCATTTAGGGTCAGGGAGTATCCTTTATGCTGTGTCTGCACACCAGCTGGCACAGTGGAACTCCAAACCTCACTGGCACCTCCGAGTGCTACCACAATACAAATAATAAGAACGTGGACTGATTAAATTGATGGCAAAGTAGGGAGTCCAGGTTTGGAATTTGTGTAGCAGAATAGAAGAGAAACTTAGGGGAGACTCACTCTCCCAAAGAGCACACACACAAAAAAAAGACCCCCACACAAACATCACAGAGCTGCCAAAGCCAGGAGCATGAAGCCATTGACAATGTCTTTTACTAGCAACGTTCATTTTAAAAGAAGTTTTCCAAGTGATTCGAAAATGATTTTAAAAATTGGGACATTCTGACTAAAGATCCCTACTACTCTTAACTCAGGTTAAAATCTTTTGTGATGTCATAGTCCCACTAATTCTCATTCTTTCTAGGAGTTCTCCTGCAAAAGAGGAAGTCAAGATCTGATATTTCTTATTAACAAATCAAGCAAAAAACTACTGAGATCTAGATTGACTTTAACCTTTATCAGAGGTGCCTTGGAAAGTGAAAATGTAAACAAAAGCTACTTTAATGGATAATGCTATAACTTTTCTATACAAAATATTTAAACATTTCTTTTTAGACTTTTTTAGGCAAATTAGTCATGATTCTTTATACTTTTAAACAGTGATACAGTATGCCACTGATCCAATGCATCCAAAAGAGATGACACTAAATTTATTTATTTAAATGACTGTTCATAGATTCATAGATTCCAAGGCCGGAAGGGATCATTGTGATCATCTAATGTGACCCTCTGTGAAATACAGGCCATAGAACTGTCCCAAAATAATTTCTAGAGAATAATTCTGCCCCAAGTGTTCATACATATTATACACACTGTTCTTCCCACCTAATGGGAAAGTGAGCACTCTGTATATTTAGGTGGATTATGTTTGGGCTGCGGTGTAAGATCTGCTAGTGAGTCTGAAATTAAATTGCAACAGTTCAAATCATGCAATGAATTTGTTAGACTTGGGTGCACTGTTCAAATGTAGGGTAAAATTTTCAAAAGCTTTTAGTGACATAGGAGCCTAAATCCATTTCCAAAAGAGATTTAGGCACTGGAGATCACGTCTCATTGAAATAAATGGGAATAAGGGTCCTCAGTACCTAAGTCACTTTTCAAAGTGAGATTTGGTCTCTTAAATCACGTAGAGGCTTGTGAAAAATTTTCCCATAGCCTACTGGACAATGACTTGAGCTAATGGTGTAAGAATCAGAATGATAATATAGCGCACATTATTTGGCAATGCCTTTACATCAGAAATATTTGGTAAAAAAATATAAGTTTTTATATATAGTAAGGAATCCTATGTTAGTGACTGAGTCAGAACTATCTTAGCTATATGACTTTTCTGGAGTACATGGGACTATACAAGATGCTTGTTTGATAATGAATTACTATTGCCTTAGTTGTCCAAAGAACTTGATTCCCAGAAGGTGGTACCATCGTTGTGTGCCATCCTCCATAACCGGTATGTTGACATGGAAGAAATTCCTTCTTATGAGCATCTTATACATAAGACATTCTTCCTTTTTATGTTTTATATCTTATCTAAAGGAGACAACAGATGTGCAAATAAGAGGATCATGAGATTGCTAAGCCATTTGGGGATGAAGCGCTATAGCAATCCAGGACTTTGTGTAAAGTATTCATTGGTTTTGTTCTTTGTCCACATTTTATGTTATTCTTATGTATGGTTTTGTATCATTGATTTAAAATCAGTATAGCGTTTATTTTTAAAAGTGCTATCAAAATGACAAAAATGAGAAATCTTGCCCTATAGTAAATTCTGAAAGCTAATGTTAAATTTTTTCTCAAATACCTGTTTTTTTCTAGTAAAAGAGAGGGGGATTTCTCCCTCCTATTAATATTTTTTCAGTACAGTTCCTGTCAATATCCAGAAATCTACACTCTAACATATTTAGATTTTTATCTAGTAAGCACTGGCTCTAAATGTGCAATACAACACAAAACCCAGTGTATCTTGTCTACATAGTTATACAGTACAGGATCCAAGTTATTTGTAGGTTAGAGTGTGCTACAGGTTGCAACGAGTGCAATTATTTAGTAGTAATTGATATTCATAATTCAGTCATTGCTGGTAGTTTGAGTTTCTTGGAATGTGTTGGTGCCTTTAATGGCATAATTGATTTTCAGAAAAAACAGTGGAATTTCTTTACATTTTAAATACAATATGGCAAACTGCACATGTGAAAGACATCAAATTATGGCACACTACATAATGGGTGTGCATGCATGTATGTATGAATGTAGTATATATATATATAAATGCTATAACATACAAAAACCTAGGATGTCCTTAACTATAGAGTCTGAGTATTGGTGGAGTTTTTCCCATTGATATTTTAATGTTTTCACATGGTACAAACATGTAGAATGTGTTTTAGTTGAGCTGTAATGCTGCAAAGGCTTCTCTATACCTGATTATTTTGTACTGCAAATATTTGTATGGAACTAACATCTACTTCTTATACATTTATTAATAGATATAATTAGATACATTTTGATTCTATAACTTGTGTCATACATTTCTCCCCTCTTTCATTCCTTATCTGTGTATAAACAGCTAGTCATTTCCAGGGGTACTGGAACAATTTGTACAGTGGGGGGTGCTGAGAGCCATTGAACCAAACTGTAAACCCTGTATATGATGGAAACCATGTCAAGCCTGGGGGTGCAGCAGCACCCCCTGCACACCTAGTTCCAGCACCTATGGTCACTTATAATCAGAATCCTCTATTTGTGACACCTGACTGGCAACCTTGGAAGAGTTTATGACATGGCAAGGGATTGTGATTTCAAATGAGAGAAATGCAGGTGGAGGGGATGAATTTCTAAGGACCAACAGTCCTGTTTTCATACAAATAAAACTCAGGAAAGTAAATAACAGAAGTTTCATGATACAGTCAACATTGTTTCAAAATACTTTGGGATTCTTGTCTTATTTTTCATGAAACACGTGCAGCTGTTTCAAATGGAAATATATATATTTTTTTTGCTGCATTAAAGAAGTGGGGGTAAGAATTAGGCACTCATTAAAGGTACTTTGCTGAAGTAGGAACACATAGAAGGTATTATGCTGTGTGAGCATCTCTAGTTATTATGGAGGTCAGTGGAGTTAGGAGTCTTCTGTGAGGGGAAAAAACCCTGTCTTCAGGCTTCCTTCACACAGAGTGTTTTCTGTGTCGGCACAAGACAACCTCCAGCTAATCTCCAGGAGATTGTGCCCTGCTGTGCTGGGGCATTGGCTAGAGTTCAGAGTCCCCCTCTTCCAGCCCTACCCTGTCCAACTGCAGCCTCAGTACTCAGGTTGTAGCTGCACCCTGGAAGCAGTAGATGGAGAGTGAGCAGCGCTAGCTTTAGGCATATGCTAAATGAGTGTAGTAAAATTTTCCCCCGCACAACTGGGAAGCCCCGGGAACGCACTCTGTGACTCTGAATCACCCCGCCTGCTAGAAGGATGATCTAGCTCTTTTCTGGTGCTTGGGATAGCCTGGCTCACGTCACTTCAAAGAAGATACTCACACAGTTGCTTAGGTTCTCCTGCAGGGTCTGAAAGGCGCTAACTATGTACACCTTGTCACTTCCAATACCAAGGCCTCCAAAAACATTTTTCACGTAGAATGAGAGAAGCTGGTCTCGAACGCTGCAATTTTTCTGAAAATAAAATACGTCAGACATTAATTTAGTGTGAAACTGTCACATCAAATTTGGCCTAAAATTTAAGTTTTATCAAATTCAGCATTTATAAAACGCACAGGCAATAGGAATCCTTTCGTCAATTTCTTTATCATCCCAATGGACAGCCATTTGCTTTTATTTTTGTGAACAAATAAACATTACCCCAGGGGGGTTTGCAACCCAGACAGTGCAATATCGTGCTAACCCGAAAGCAAAATACACCAGAGACTGATCATTAACAAAAGTACAATCAATGAATCTATTATTTTCTGTCCTAAAATGCAAAACATAGACATGTAGCAAATATAGTGAACCCTGCATTACATTATTTGGGCCAAATTATAGGTGTCCTTATGTGGATTCTCTGGGAGGCAGGAGTCCAATTCTCCTTTCCAGTGCAATAAGGGGGGGTGGGGCGGGATAAGGAATTCAACGCAGCTGTTTGGGATTCCTGAGTGCTATGTGGGGCCACTAGCCTTCCTGTCATAATACACACCCCTAACAGGCTATATGTGGGCAGGTTGGGGGCATAACTGTGGTCTTGGCCCTCAGGTGAACTAGCTATCCCCTGGAAAGTACAACTGGGGAAGAGCACCTGCTATACTGTTTTCACTGGTGTAGCAAGTGCCTCTTTGAGCATGTGCTTCCCCCCGGCCCAAGCACCGCTACTGGTCTTCCCAATTATCCTCCCAAATCCTATTCCAGCCTCTACCTTACACAGGGACAAAGTGCCTCCAACTGCTCCCACCTGGCACTTCAGTCACTCAGCCCTTCCCTTTCCCATTCCCTCCCCCTACACCCCAGTGCTCTGTGGCCTGTAAGAGAATCTTTTTCAGTGTTAATAGGCCAATGTGTTATTCGTACCCTCAGAAGTGAGTTTTTCAATCTATAGTTCTCAGTCTAATATTGTCCCTCGGAATTAAACACAATCACCAAATTCTCTATCAGAAACCATTCCTTTTGATCAGCCACTCCCACCTCATTCAGAATGAAATATGATCAAAGTAAAGAAGTGGAAAACAAAGAATCCAGATCTTACCATAAACAACTTTTTGGTTGTCTTTTTTAACAATCTTCTGTTCTTGATGAGATCTTTCTATAAAGAATAATGAATTAATATTAATTTAGATTAATATACATCTAACCTTCTCCTCCAGACCAGAAGGAGGAAAGATGGACTTTTTATTTGGTGTTTTTATAGCACCTAACACAATGGGGTCCTGGGCCATGGCTGGGGCTCCTAGGTGCTATGGTAATACAAATAAATTATTATAATAATAATTAATACGTACGACTAGAAGTCAGGAGATCTGAGTTCTGTTCCCAACTCTGCCACACACTTCCTCCTGGACCTTAGGAAAGTCACTTAACCTGGCTGTGCCCCCTCGTTTTACCCATCTTTAAAACTGGGATAACAATACTGTCCGATCTCACGGCAGTGTAGTGAGGATTAATTTATTAAAATTGCCAGGTGCTCAGATACTCTGATGCCACAGAAACATCTGTAAATAAGTAAAAATGAACATATAATCTTTCCAACCAATGGGATTAACTTACTGGAATAGATGCTTTGAAAGTAGTTGCCTTGACATATAGGTTCTCTGTCACTTTGGAGATCATTCCTTTTCGACAGCTGTTCTTGCCTGAGGATGCCTTTTTGCCTTCAGCAATGAAAAGACACAGTAGAACTAAAAGAAGACCAGACCTGAAAAGAGAATACAGTCTCATTCTCCCCACTCCTTCCTGCCTCTGGTATAGTCACAGCAGCCTGTGGGATATAGCAAAACTGTATTAGATGACAAAGGTTAACCTAATTCTGTTAACCCTCAAAGCAGCTTCTGTGCTGAGATGTTCATATAGATAATTTATTGCTGATGTGTTGGTAGATCACTTTTGTTGCTCTATTTTTATACATCTTGCTCCACTTTCAGCTAGTTTGACCACATCATCTGTGACGTTTGTAAAAGACATCTCCATATTTACTGGCAATAAGAGCTAGGTTTCCAAGAAAGAAGAGCTTCGCTCTCACATTGAAAGGCTTCTTTCTTTTTCTTCAGTGGCCTACTGAAGAGAAAATGGTTAAATTGGTTAGCTTCATTTTGTGACAAAAGCTAGTGGGTTTCTAAATATTTTCTCAAGTGTAAAGGATTTCTGCAAAGCGTGATGGTAGCTTTTTCCAAAACACATGCCATAGTTTTAAACTATTCTAAAAGCATTAGAAATCTAGTTATTCCCAAGGAAATGGACTAAGCTGGCATCACACCTGTGATCTTGTATTTTAAGGATTCTGTTTGAGCTAATGAATTCTTGCTGTAAGTACATTATGAAATAACCTATGTCATAATAGAGAAAACACCATTTATTTTAATTTTGAAGGTGTCGCTTTTTTGAAAATATGACGGGGTGACAATGAACCACCATGAAAGATGTTGTTGTGGTGGGAGTCACATCATGGTGCTGTTCTGTGTAGTTTTCCCAGTTCTTTTTCTTAGCATGTGAGCACTGGTCAATCGTTAAAAAAAAGTTTGTATTTTTTTGAGGAGCTGTGGTAGGTAGCATGGGAGTTTGTGCTCTGCCTTAATCTCTCTAATTAGAGTCACTTATCAAAAGCAGAATTGCTCCCTGGGAACCAAGCACTGGTGTTTGGATTGAGGTCCCAAAAAGACGGGATTGCCGATGTACTGTTTGTGACCACCTCGGTTCAAGGACTGGTGCTTGTAGAGTGAAGTAAAAAAGTTGCATTAAGAATATACCCAGAGGCTGTTGAACGGGAAATCTATTTGTAAGGTCTCAGAATCTGCTATAACTTGGCAGAGGGGTGACAGAATTGAAAGCATGATGGGTAAGATAGTTACTTCTACACAAAGAGCCAAATGGAGCGATGCCAATTTACACTAGCTTTGGATCTGGCCCAGAAACTTTAGGGTTTAGAACTGTCAGGTTCTGAGATGAAATTGGAACAATGGACCAAACTCATCTCTAGTGTAACTCCGTTAACTTTAATAAATTTATAACAAGGATAAATTTAGCACTGCATTAAAGTAAATATAGTTAAACCAAAGATGAGAAGTTGTTACGCCTGGGATGAATTTGCCCCAGTAGTCCAGCTCCCCGATCTGGCTGAGCTGTGCTCAGTGTAAGGTCATGTGCCAGGAGAAAGTAACTTTCAGCCACTTTTATAGACGCTTGGGCCAGTTCAGTCCCTACTGGAAGTTAGAATAGTCTCTACAACTACCCAACTGGGAGATCTTATCATTTTCTGTCCCCATTTATGCTACTGGAGTGCCCCAAAGGGGTCTAAGCAGGCCAGAGAAAATGACTTAAAGTATATATGAGACCACTAAGGGCTTGTGTATGCTTAAAATGCTACAATGGCATAGCTGTACCACTGCAGGGCTTCAGTGTAGACACTACCTATGCTGATGGGAGGGAGTTTCCTGTTGGCTTAGGTAATCCATCTCCCTGAGAGGCGGTGTCTAGGTCGATGGAAGAATTCTTCCGTCAACCTAGCCCTGTCTACATGGGGACTTAGGTCACCTTAACTACACTGCTTGAGGTGTGAATTTTTCACACCCCTGACTGACATAATTAAACTGACCTAATTTTCTAGCATAGACCAAGTCTTAGAGAGGCCACAGATTCCAGTATCCTCTGTAAATCTGAATGTCATCAGTGTACTTTTTTGTTCTCAACTTTACATTCTGATATAGCCATCACCAGAATGTCCCAGGGTCTGGAAGAAATAAACCGAGGGATGACAAGTTGCTTCAAGTTTAACACACACAGAGCAGACATGCTGCTGGTAGGAAGAAGTAAACAGTGAAAGGAGCTGGCAAATAGACTTACCGGAATCTACACTGAGGGAATCTGACTACCCAATTAATAAGGTAACGCGCAGCCTCTGAGTCAAGATGGACTCATCTCTGCTTCTGGTCACCCCAGCTGTAACAGTGATGAGGAATGTATTCAGGGAGAGTAATTCCATGCTCTAATAATAAGAATATAGGAGTAAGGATATATTACCAACCAACTGACCAGGATGGTGATAGTGACTGTGAAATGCTCAGGGAGATTAGAGAGACTATTAAAATAAAAAACTCAATAATAATAATGGGGGATTTCAACTATTCCTATATAGACTGGATACATGTCACCTCAGGATGGAATGCAGAGATAAAGTTTCTTGACACCTTAAATGACTGCTTCTTGGAGCAGCTAGTCCTGGAACCCACAAGAGGAGAGGCAATTCTTGATTTAGTCCTAAGTGGAGCACAGGGTCTGGTCCAAGAGGCGAATATAGTTGGACCCCTTGGTAATAGTGACCACAATATAAGTGACCATAATATAATTAAATTTATCATCACTGTGGTGGGGAAAACACCACAGCAGCCCAACACTGTAGCATTTAATTTCACAAAGGGGAACTACACAAAAATGAGGATGTTAGTTAAACAGAAATTAAAAGGTACAGCGCCAAAAGTGAAATCCCTGCAAGCTGTATGGAAACATTTTAAAGACACATAAAGGCTCAACTTAAATGTATACCCCAAATTAAAAAACATAGTAAGAGAACTAAAACAGTGCCACCATGGCTAAACAACAAAGTAAAAGAAGCAGTGAGAGGCAAAAAGGCATCCTTTAAAAAGTGGAAGTTAAATCCTAGTGAGGAAAATAGAAAGGAGCATAAACTCTGGCAAATGAAGTGTGAAAATATAATTAGGAAGGCCAAAAAAGAATTTGAAGAACAGCTAGCCAAAGACTCAAAAAGTAATAGCAAAAAAAAATTTAAGTACATCAGAAGCAGGAAGCCTGCTAAACAACCAGTGGGGCCACTGGACGATCGAGATGCTAAAGGAGCACTCAAGAACGATAAGGCCATTGCGGAGAAACTAAATTAATTCTTTGCATCGATCTTCATGGCTGAGAATGTGAGGGAGTTTCCCAAACCTGACCCATTCTTTTTTAGATGACAAATCTGAGGGATTGTCCCAGACTGAGGTGTCATTAGAGGAGGTTTTGGAACAAATTGATAAATTAAACAGTAATAAGTCACCAGGACCAGATGGTATTCACCCAAGAGTTCGGAAGGAACTCAAATGTGAAATTGCAGAACTACTAACTGTAGTCTGTAACCTGTCATTTAAATCAGCTTCTGTACCAAATGACTGGAGGATAGCTAATGTGAGGCCAATTTTTAAAAAGGGCTCCAGAGGTGATCTTGGCAATTACAGGCCAATAAGCCTGACTTCACTACCAGGCAAACTGGTTGAAACTATAGTGAAGAACAAAATTTTCGGACACATAGATGAACATAATTTGTTGGGGAAAAGTCAACATGGTTTTTGTAAAGGGAAATCATGCCGCACCAATCTACTAGAATTCTTTGAGGGGGTCAATAAGCATGTGCACAAGGGGGAACCAGTGAATATAGTGTATTTAGATGTTCAGAAAGCCTTTGACAAGGTCCCTCCCCAAAGGCACTTAAGCAAAGTAAGCTGTCATGGAATAAGAGGAAAGATCCTCTCATGGATTGGTAACTGGTTAAAAGATAGGAAACAAAGGATAGGAATAAATGGTCACTTTTAAGAATGGAAAGAGGTAAATAGTGGTATCCCCCAGGGGTCTGTACTGGGACCAGTCCTATTCAACGTATTCATAAATGATCTGGAAAAAGGGGTAAACAGTGAGGTGGCAAAATTTAATGTTGATAAATGCAAAGTAATGCATATTGGAAAACATAATCACAATGATAACTCAGTGGTTTGAGCATTGGCCTGCTAAACTCAGGGTTGTGAGTTCAATCCTTGAGGGGGCCATTTAGGGATCTGGGGCAAAAATCTGCGAGGGATGGTACTTGGTCCTGCTGTGAAGGGAGGGGACTGAACTCAATGATGTTTCAAGGTCCCTTCCAGTTCTATGAGATAGGTATATCTCCATATTATCTTATCTTTAACTATACAGGTAAAATGATGGGGTCTAAATTAGCTGTTACCACCACTCAAGAAAAAAGATCTTGCAGACATTGTGGATAGTTCTCTGAAAACATCCACTCAATGTGCTGGGGCAGTCAAAAAGGTGAACAGAATGTTGGGAATCATTGAGAAAGGGATAGATAATAAGGCAGAAAATATCATATTGCCTCTATGTAAATCCATGGGACACCCAAATCTTGAATACTGTGTGCAGATGTCATTGCCCCGTCTCAAAAAAGGTATAGTAGAATTGGAAAAAGTTCAGAAAAGGGCAACAAAAATGATTAGGGATGTGGAACGGCTTCCGTATGAGAAGAGATTAATAAGACTGGGACTTTTCAGCTTGGAAAAGAGATGACTAAGGGGGGATATGATTGAATATAAAATCATGACTGGTGTGGAGAAAGTAAATAAGGAAGTGTTATTTACTCCTTCTCATAACACAAGAACTAGGGGCCACCAAATGAAATTAATAGGCAGTAGGTTTAAAACAAACAAAAGGAAGTATTTCTTCACCAACACATAGTCAATCTGTGGAACTCCTTGCCAGAGAATGTTGTGAAGGCCAAGACTATAACAGGGTTCAAAAAAGAACTAGATAAGTTCATGGAGGATAGGTCCATCAATGGCTATTAGCCAGGATGGGCAGAGATGGTGTCCCTAGCCTCTGTTTGCCAGAAGCTGGTAATGAGTGACATGGAATGAATCACTTGATGATTTACCTGTTCATTCCCTCTGGGGCACCTGGCATTGGCCACCGTTGAAAGATAGGATACTGGGCTAGATGGACCTTTGGTCTGACCCAGTATGTTCGTTCTTATGTTCTTATGTTCTTCAATGGGATTACTCATGTGTTTAAAGTTACACACATGCTGAAGCACTTTATGGGATCAGGGCCTAGGAGAGTTTTTTAAAAAGGAGAGAGACAAAGAGGAGGTAGTAATGGGGATTACTTAACATTTTGGACTTATAGATTCATAGATTCATAGATTCCAGGACTGGAAG